CTATATAGAACCTCCCCGAACCCCACCCAAAGCACCTCTGGGTATTCCCCCCCAAAAAAAAAAAAGCTAAAACTCCCCACCCATGACATTTCCAAGTATCGCAAGGCACAATCCTGGATCCCCAACACAGCCAGCCAACCCATGGGGGTTACACCTCAGAGCCACAGCCTGGGACCGTCACGCTAAACCCCCAATCTGGTTGGCCACGAATCTCAGGAGGGGTCCAGGGCATCCTGAGTGGTTACTTGGGAGGTCTCACCTGGCAGGTCTCGAAGGCCACCTCCCGCCAGGGGTCCACTTCAGCTCTGTCCCGGCTCCAGCTAAGACAAATCAGCACCAACAGCTGCTGGCAAGGGGTCAGAGCACAGGGGGCAGGGCACTTGCCTTGAGTTGCAGCTGGCTCAGGTTCAATCCCTGAGCCCTGCCAGATGTGGCCCAATAACCAAAAACCCTTTATTTAATTGAAGAGCTGATGGCGGGGCAGAAGGTCTGGGAGAGGTACCAGGATGGAAAATGGAAGTGGCTGAACTGGGCCCGACCCCTCCCTAACCCCAGAACGCACTTGTGAGTCCCGGTCCTCTGCTGCTGCTTCCTTGGTCCTGCACCCCTCGGCCCCTCCCAGGCATTCTGTACTATTAAGTTATTAAGACTTTCCTGCTTTTTTTTTGATCAGGGGAAGTTCTGGCGGTGATCAGGGACCACCATCCCCGCCCCCCCCACACACACACACACACATACACCCCACCCTGTGCTCAGGAGTGACCCCTGGCGGTGCAGGGGATTCGAACCGAGGTCAGCTGCACGCAAGCAAGTGCCTTCTTCGTGCTCCCACCCCGACCCGGCTGGCTTTCTGTCGTTTGTTAACAAAGACTCCTCTGGAGCCTCCCTGGGCACCGGTGGACACGGGACAGACACGGGCGGGCTCCGAGGGGTGTGGCAGTGAGAGAATTCCAGCAGGGACCTGAGAAGGTAACACGCAGACACACTCCTTGAGGCGGCCGGAGAAGCCCAGGGAGGGAAACCCAGGTTCGCCTCCACTTCCTCAGGTTAGAGTCACGGGATCCTGGTCTAGACGCTGTGGCCGTTTTCCGCTGTCATTCCGAGCACGGCCAGCAGGTGGGGCAGTGGCCACAGCGCGGGAGGGGAGCAGGGCCAGGGGAGCTGCCATGTGGGTGGCCTGTAGGTGTGTGGTGTGGGAGGGGGATGTGTGTAGCAGCTGTGCGTGCGTGTGCGTGTGCGCGCGCGCGCACATGTGTGTTCCCTTCCTGTGGGTCAGTGTGAGAAAGAAGTGAAAGGACTCAAATGAACCACAGATTCTGCACCACCACCCCCGCCCCCAACCCCTCACGACTCTTTTCCCTGTCCTGGGCTCTTTCAGCACCTGGCAGAGTTTGGAACGTGTTTTTGCTGCTGTTTGTATTTCTGCCATTACACAGGGGACACTCCACCAGATCGGGAGGAAGGGAGGAGCAAGGCCAGGTCTGGCGGTCACTGAATTTCCCACCAAGCATTCAGCTGTCTTGGGCCCAGAGGAGACTCCCGGGAGTAGCCATGAATGAGCAAGAGGGTAAAGGAAGACAGCATCAGAATGAAATTAGGTTCACTGCCTCAACCATCACCTCCTCCAAGAAGTCCCCCTGGTCATCCCGCTATACTCTGCCCCCCACCCTTCACCCACTGCCCAGCCCTGTCCAGTCTGGACTGTGAGCCCTCAGAGGGTAGAGCCGGGACCTGCTGAAGGTTTGTACAAATGTTTGGGCTCCATCAGGCCGCCATGAAGCCCAAAACGGAGCAAGCATGCCTAAGAGAGGAGCAGGTGAGTGCCCAGATCAGCACATGGACAAAGGGCAAGGTTGCTTTTGAGGAAGGGAGAAGGGATGCACTGTTCCAGGAAGGATGACCCAACTCCGGAAAGTCAAGAAGTATGTGTGTGGGATGAGGGTGAACTATTTTAGGGGGGAATTTCTGGAGTCAACCCCTGGGGTTGGCCCTCAGCCTCAGGCAGTAGACACCCTTTGCAGATTCGCAAGCAGGATCAGGTTCCCATGGGACAGGATGACAGCAGCCAGCAGAGAGGAGCATGGGCTGCCAAGGTCTGGACCGCCCCTCGGAGAGAGCAGAAAAACTTGTGCAGAGTTGACTTTGGTTTCCAGGTTGGGTTATTTTTTGGACGGGTTGGCTTTTGGGGTCACATCTGGCGATGCTTAGGGATTAGGCCTGCCTCTGCACTCCGAAATTACTTCTGGCAGTGCTTGGGGTGACGGGATGCCCATATGGGATGCCTGGGATCGAATCAGGGTCGGCCACTTGCAAGGCAAACGCTCTTCTCGCTGTCCTATAGCTCCAACCCCTGAAGTGACCTGTGATGTGCAGACACGCCCTGGTAGAGAGTGGGGCGAGCCTCTTATACCCACTGTGGGCTGTAAAGGAAGGTGTGGGGGCTTAGAACCTACAAAATACCTCCCCGCCCCTTACAAGCCCTCCCACCCTGGGGTCGGGGCTCATGCGCAAATGCAACCCCTTCTGTGGGCAATCTTGGGGCGCCCAGCCGTCCAGTTGCTTTCGAGCGCTGCAATGGCATGAACATCGTCATTAGAGCATGCGTGAGCGCCACTCCTGAAAGAGCCCTGCGCCCTGGTGAGTACCTTGGCCAAGAGTGTGCAAGCCTCACGATCTGATGCGACGTCCCGGGGAGCACTACAATGAAACTTGTGTGGGACCTGCAGTTATCACAGCCACAGTAGAAACAGAAAGGAGGGGAGGGAGGTGGGGGACCTTCACCTGCCTTAACCTGCGCACAGCTGAGAAATGGGAACGAGGGGCAGGACGCAGAGCGCCCCCTAGCGGTATCACCTGGAACTGCAGGGGACTTTGTGCTCCCCGCCCCTCCGCCCCCCCATGCCCTCCATGGCTGTGATCCTGGTCCTTTTAGGGCTGGTGTCCTTTGAGACATGCTAGCTTTGGTGACAAACGCCGGGCCTGAGGGTTCTGGAGCTAGTTTGTTTCTTGTGGTTGTCGCCTAGGGACCGGAGAGAGTACAGGAGGGAAAGTATATACAAAGTATCCAAACAGCTGCAGCTCCCCAAACCTGACGGAATCCCGGGCACTGCGTGTGGTTCCTCCAGCACCACCAGGGGTCGCCCCTGAGCGCCACAGGGTGTGGCCCAAAACTGAATGCAATAAATATCAGCGCATATATTACTGAGCTTCTAAAAGTTTGAAACACCTTCCTGTTTTGTTTGCACGACAGATTTTTTTTATTATTGTGATCAAGTACCCATAACACAGAATGGAGCGCTTCCACCCATTCAAGTTCAGTAACCTCAAAGATGCCATATGGTGGGCACCTCTCCCGAATTCCAGAACATCCTTATTGCCCCCACAAGTAATGCCTTTCTCCAGGACGCAGTTGCCCCTCACCCGTGTTTGACTCTCCCAGAAACACTTGTTCTTCTTGAATTCCCTTATGTGACTGGGAAGAAAGGGGGAAAAAAAACAGCAGCAGAGTGGAGAGCAGCTTTGCAAACCGCTTCTGTATTGTGGGCATGCATACTGGCCACACAGAGCCTCCGCTGTGGTCTGTGGGCCGCTCTGCAGGGGAAGGATTTCGTGTGGCAGCAGTGCTGGGGAGCAGCTGATACCAGATTGGGATCTCGATCCCAAGGGAAGAAATTTAGCCCCCCTGGGAACCAAGAGTCAGCCCAGAAGCCAGCTGGGCTGCAGAAAGGAGAGACAGCTCCAACCCACAACCTTCTTGCTGTGAGATGCGGTGGACTTCCTGGTGGAGAGGACACCTCAAGGTAGTCAGCTGCTATTTCTGTAGGCTGCTTCCTACCCCTTCCAAGTGATATTTTTTTCCTCACTTGGCAGAAAAAAACAGACCTGGAACTGGCAGGAAGGGGTGCTTTCTATTCACTCTCCTGCCCCCAACCACATTTCTTTCTATGTCATTTTTTCTGGAAGGGCCCTTGATTCGGGGGGATTTTCTGCTAGGAAAGGGAGGCCAGGCTGGGGGACTGGATGTCACCCTGTGGGGGCCAGAGTTGGGACAGGCTTCTGGCAGTCATCCCCACATCTGGCAGAGTCAGTACCCTCTCTTGGCATGGGGTGGGTGGTGGCTCCAAGGACATATGAGATGAGGTCAGGCTCTGGGAGGGGACTGCAAGTTATTCAAGAACAGATCCAGGGGCCAGAGCAAAAGCACAGAGGGGAAGGCATTTGCCTTGCATGTGGCTCACCCGGGTTCAGTCCCTGGCACCTCATAGGGTCTCCCAAGCCCCACCAGGACTGATTCCCAAACACAGAGCCAGGAGTCAGCCTTGAGCACCACCAGGCGTGACCCTCCCCCCCCCCAAAAAAAACCACACCCAGGAGTCTGATTTGTATTTGGGGGAGCAATCCATGGGATCCATACCCCCTGTCACCTCCTCACCCTCCAACATCTCCATCTCCTCCTCATAATCTGTTCCTCCACGCCCATGCCAGGTGGCCACTGGGCCATGCAAAGTAACTGGACCCTGCCCCCATTACGCCTAGTGAAATAAACCTCCTTCCTCCCACTTTCCTTGGGGTGGGCGGATCTGGGGGTTCCAAGTCTACTGCCGGAAGTCAGAGGCCAGGGGAGATATCTGACCCCATGAGGCAGAAGGAGAGAGAAGGTGGCTTGGGAAGGGCTAGGCCATCCCCTGGGGATCCGGGGTGGGCTGCCGGTTACCCTGATTGCTGAGGACAGAGCCAGGGACCGACGCACAGAAGCAGCTGGAGACTGTCCCATCCGCTAAATATTTAGACAGCGAGATGGATGGGCAAGCAGGACCCTTGGTTATTTTGAGAGCACTGCTCTTTGTACTAGGCACCCCCCGCCCCCCACAGGACCACCCCCACAGTAGGAGAAATAGCAGCCGAGTCCCATTCAATCAGGGGGCCATGGTCTGTCAGGCAAAGGTTAGGGCTCCACACCCCCCCCAAGCCCTCAGTCATGAGTTGAGGGACCTTCCTCCCCCCAGGCAAAGGGGCACGGTCAGCAGAGAGAGCAGATGGCAGCAGACCCCACTTTAGATGGAGTCCCCACAGTGCCGATGCCGGAGACCGCTGCAGGAGGCAGGGAGGGTCCCTGGCCCTCGCCCCAGGCTGCCAGAGGCACCCCATGTCCTTCCTTGCCCCCAGGAGCAGCGGGGGGTCCTGGGTCCGTCCTCCTGGAGGCGGGTCGGGAGAGGGGTGCCTGCGAATCAGCCCGGGCAGGTCTGGGCAGCAGGCGGCAGAACCAGCCCTGGAGCCGCTGGAAGACAGCCTTGCGGAAGAGGATGAACACCCAGGGGTCCAGGATGGGGTTGAAGGCGTTGAAGCGGAAGGCCAGCAGGTCCCCCATCTCGCTGCTGTCTGGGGCGATGGCCTGGGTGAAGCCGCGGATCTGAGGGCACAGGAAGGAGGTGAGGGCTGCTATCCCCACCCCAGGGCCCCCTCCTCACCCCCCGGCCCCGTTCCCGCATCCTGAAGCTGGATGGATGGATGGACCTTCAGAGAGAAACCAGGAAACAGATGAGGGAGGAGCAAGCAAGAGGGACAGGCGGGGGCACACGGGACCCCCACAGCCTGTAGGCGCCTCTGAGTCATCACTGGTACCCCAGAGAGGTTTGAGAAGTCTTCAGCTCACAGCCAGTGCGGGCACGGCCTGGGTGAAACTGAGGCCCTGAATGAGGTGAGAGGGGGGCGGTACACGCCCTGGGGAGCAGGGCTGCAGTTTGAGGAGGCAGGACAGGAAGAGGGGTGCTGGTAGGAGAAGGGGGGTAAGAGAGGAGTTGACGCTGGACCCCAAGTTCAGGTTCTGAACGCAGAGCCAGCCTGTCCGCTGAGAAACAGGCCCCACCCAGGTCCTGAAGGAGCTAAATGCATGTCTAACGCCTCCAAGAGGCCCTTAGAGATGCTGGGGGTGCAGGGTGGTGTCTGCAAGCCCCTGGGCTCCGAGTGGACAGAGAGGGGTGGTCAGGGAAGGTTGGGGTGCATCGGGAAGGTCCAGAGCTGTGGGAGGGGGAAGGCAGGCGAGGAGCTGGAAACTGAGAAGAAAGCCAGGAATGGACACATCCTCTGACCTTTTGTGGTCTCAGTTTTCCCTTCTGGGAAGTGGGCACAGCCCGGCAGGCTATGACTGAGGTGGGGGGGCCGGTCTGCTCAGGGAGGAGGGGGGCACTGCCACTTCCTGCCTGCCCACCCTCCACCTTCCACCACCCCCGCGGCCCGGGAGACTCACCGTGAGGGGCAGCGAGCACACGGCCATGACGCCCGTCATGAGGGCCAGCAGGATCAGATGGTCCACCTCGTCCTCGCGGGCGCGGGTCCCCGGCAGCGCCGAGGCCTGGTGGCGCCGCTGCTGGCGGTGCATGCGGCAGAGGCTGAGCGTGACCGAGGCGTTGCAGAAGACGATGGCGACCACCAGCAGGGCCACCAGGCTGGCGTAGGCCAGCGAGAAGGCGCAGCCGCCGGGCCGGGCGGAGCGCAGGCGGATGAAGCACCAGCTGCCCGGGCAGTACTGCTGGTGCTGGCCCAGGCCGAGCAGGGGCAGCGCGCAGAAGAGCGCGCAGAAGGCGTAGATAGCGGGCAACGCGCGGCGGGCACAGCGCGGCGCGTCCCGCTGCGCATAGGCGTAGGGGTGGCTCAGGGCCACGCAGCGCTCCACGGCCATGGCGCACAGCAGCAGCGTGGACGCCAGCCCGAAGAAGGTCATGGCGAAGGCGAAGGCCTGGCACAGCGCGGGGCCGCCGTGCGCCAGCCCCAGCAGCGAGCTGTTGCGCGCGTACGCCGTGAACACGGCCGGGCTCAGGAAGCACGTGCCCAGCAGGTCGGTGGCCGCCAGTCCGGTGACCAGCACGGCGAAGGCCGACGGCCGCGAGCGCCGCCGCGCGCCCAGGATGCCCAGAGCCAGCCCGTTGCCCACCACGCCCGCCACGAACATCAGAGTGCTGGTGGCCGGGCCCACCGAGTCCCGCACGTAGGTGAGGTTGCGGCACGAGTCGGCCATCCCCCGCCCCCCGAGGCCTGGCCTGGACGCGGGGGTGGACGGGGGTGGGGGCCAGGGGCAGCCGCGCTGGGCCGGGGACCCACTCAGATGCTCGGCGCTGCCCTCCCCATGGTGCCCACCGCGGCCGCTGGCTCTCCCTCCGCCTCTCCTCTCTCCTCTCCTCTCTCCTCTTCTCTCTCTTCTCTAGTCTCTCGTCTCTCCTCTCCTCTTTCCTCTTCTCTCTCTTCTCTCAGTCTCTCCTCTCTCCTCTCCCCTGTCCTCTTTCCTCTTCTCTCATCTCTCCTCTCTTCTCTCTCCACTCTCCTCTTTCTCTCCTCTTGCTCCTCCAATCTCCGTCTCCGTCTGTTTTTCTCTCCTCTCTCTCTCTCTCTCTCTCTCTCCCCTCCCTTCCTTCCTTCTCTGTCTCCTGTCTCTCCTCCCTTTCCCTCTGCCTCTTCCCCCTCTCTCTCTCCCCTTGTGCTTTGGGGCACCCCAGCCCCTTCTCACCACACCTCTGCCATTCGCCCAGACCAGTTCGTCCCTCCCGGGCTCCGGGGCGCTGGGCTCTTGGTTCTGCTCAGATCCTGCCACTCCTTCTCGCTCTACTTATGTCTCCCGCCCGCGGCTCGCTTGCCCCGGCTTTTTCATTTCCTCTCTCTGCCCCGCCTTCCCTCCCCCTGCTTTCTCCAGGGGCCCCCATGCCTCCCTCCCACCTTCTCCCTCCATCCCCCCCATCCACGCATCCATCCATCTCTGGCCTCTTCCGCCCCTCCCTGCCTCCGCTCTGCTCCCCTGTCCCCCCATCCACCTGCCAGCCCTCGACCCCACTCCTTGTCAGCATCTCCCTGGGGTCCAGTGGGAGTCACAGAGCCTTCCCTGAGTTTGGGGGACAGCACCCCAGGGGAGTTGTGAGGGGGCCAGTCTGGGAGGGGGTGTGCTCAGAGATCTATTCTGGGCTCCCAGCCTTGGGGTTAGTCGCTGCCCAGGGATTGAGAAATGACCAGGAAATTCCTCCCGCATGCAGTGTTTTCCAAGGCCCCGTGAGAGTCGCTCCCGGGATTCATTCAGCCCTTCCAGAAGGCTGGGGAAGGAGGTGGCCAGGCCAAAGGAAAGAATGCCGTGTCCAGGAACCCTCCTGGGGCACAGGAGGAAGGGCATGTGGGGGTGGGGGGGAGGAGACAGCCTGGGGACTTTCCCCTGACTTCCTACCCTCCGGCTCCCAGGCCCCGGGGCAAAGAGCTAGGGACCCCAGGCTGATGACCCCGCGACCCTAAGCTGTGCCAGTCACTGTTGGTCACGGCCAGCGGCCTGGGCTAGCACCATGATGGACACTCAGCTGTTCCCACCTCCCCAGCACCGACACCCCGCCTCGTGGCTGCCAGCGGGTGAGCCTGTGGGCCCCAGGTGCCAGCAGGGATCCCATCCCAGACCCTCTCCCCACTGGACCCCCAATTTCTCATGTGTTCTTCTGGGGGGCCCACTCTCAGACCCCATTTTTTTCAGTGGGTGGTTAAGTAGAGAGAACGCCGTGCAGAGGCCTGGTCCCCGGGTCCCATGCCACCCGGCTCCCCGTGTCCTTGTTCTGATAGTGAATAACGGGGCACACAGGGCCCAGGCCAGCCCAGAGGACCCCCCGGCCCACATGCCACGCAGCAAGGAGAGAAGCTCTTGGACGTTGTGTCATGCCTAAGGGCAGGAAAGATGGTCCTGATGTAGACAGGCAGCCCCAAAACCCTCATGCCCCCCTATCATGCCAGCCGGCTGGCAAGCTCAGCTTCCAGCAGGATGAACCCCCAGCCTCCCACCCTGTTCCTTATCACCCCAGCCGGCTGGCAACCTTAGCTTCCGGCAGGATGGGCGCCCCGGCTGCAGCCACATTCAGGGGCTCCCCGAGTGGCTGCACAGCCCTTCTCTGGGAGGACAGGGGTGGGGGAGTGAAGCTGTGAGTGTGTGGGTCTCAGCCCCCTCCCCCGCCCCCAGCACCCATGGGCCCCTCAAGCCATTCCTGGCCGCCGCAGACTACAGCTCACGCAGGAAGTTATTTCATATTAATGAAGGATGACGCCCGGCAGGCTTGGGTCCTGTTTCTGCGTCAGGGGACAGAGTGGGGGGAGGCAGAGAAGCTCTGATTCCTGAAGCGGCTCCTGCTGACTTCCTGTCCCCACCAGGGACCGTAGAATCTTCCAGAGGCCTACATTCTATCCCCAGGCCTGCAGGGTCTCACATAAACCCTACCTTGGGGAGGAGGATGGAGAGAAAGGGTAGGCTGGGGGTCCATGCCAGTTCTGGGAACACCCCAGTCACCTTCTGGGGAGCCCCCTCCTGCCCCGGATGTGGCTGAGCCCACAAAGATTTCTCACTTCTATCTAGGTGTTGTGGGTAAGAGGTCATGGGCTGAGGTGGGGGGAACAAGGAACCATTCTGAGCAACTGAGTCAGCCACTAAGAGCAGAGAGGCCTGCCCATGGGGGACCCCAGGACTAGAAGCAAAAGAGGAATTTCCCTTTGGACGCAGGAGGGGATGTGTGAGAGATTGTGGGTGTGTGACCAGCGGGTCTGTGTGTGCATGTGTGTATTTGGGGGCTCGGTGCGAGATGCCAGGACAGAGGAAGGAGCTGGCGTGGAGGCTCGCCTCACTCCCAGCAGGGCAGACCCTGAGACCCGGCTCCCCCAGCGGCAGCAGCTGGGCTCCATCTGAGACTGGGGAGGGGGGGCGCATTCCTTCCCACGCAGTGGCTGCAGCCCCCAACAGAAAGCTTGCCTGCAAGATTCCCAGAAACAACTACTGCTGGGCTGGAGATTCTCTCAACAAACCCCAAGGCACTTACACTGCGCCAGGGTCAGGGGCATCGCAGTGCCCTCTGGCAGGGGTGGGTCCCCCAATAGCGTGCAGAGACAAGGAGAGCAGAAGAGCTGCAGCTGGGCCGGGCTGAGTCACCCACACCCCAATTCCCGTCTGCGTGTGTGTGTGTGTGTGTGTGTGTGTGTGTGTCCAGCAGGGCAGGAAATGGGGTCTGGAGGAGCCTCTTCCACGCATGTTCCCCTCCTGTGTGACCGCTGTGCAGCAGCCCTCAGATCCTGCCCACCCCCTCAGCCCCCCAGTTTTCAGCCTCCTGGTGGAAACTGGGGTACACCTATGCACCTCCAATTTGCATACTCCCTCCACACATGCACCCCACTGGCCCCTTGCACCTGCCAGGCCCGCCCGCCCATGACCGTAAGAGCAGTGACCGCTTTTCTCTTTTCCTGTGGGTACCATACCTGGCGGTGCTCAGGGATGACTCCGGCTCAGTGCAGGGCTTGCTCCAGGCAGTGCTCAGGGGATCGCCGGGAGGGGGGGGCAGGGCTGAACCGCAGGCCTCCCACATGCCAAGCATATTCTCAGCCCATGGTACCATCTCTGAAAGTGCTCTTCAGATCACGACTGGCAGGGCAAGGCCCAGCATCTAAAAACCAGTTCCCTCATACCCTCAGTTCCTTTCCACAAGGTCCCGAGATACCTCCAGCCTCTTCTGAACAGGTTTTACACCCTATTCCAACCCCAACACCCCCGTATTTTCAGGCCAGGCCACTCCCTGCCTACTCCCAGGATTGTAAGGACTAGACCTGGCACCTTGTAGGTACAAGGCGAGAACGAAACCCAGGACCACCCCACACATGCCAGGTCAGATGATAGGGGTTCGGAGCACCACAGTAAAAAGTCTCAGAGCCCTCCTAGCACCCAAGTTCTGTCCACCCTGGACACAACCACAGCAGCAGGAAGAAGAGGGGAGAGGGAGGGAAATGATTTTTTTTTTCCGGATTCCAGGACTTGAACCTGCTTCATACATGTGAAGCATGCATGTGGTCTGCTCCGGAGATTCACCTCCAACCCTAAAATGTTTATAATTATCTTTATCATTGTTTGGGGGTCACACCCAGCTGTGCTCAGGATTCAAATTGGGACGGTCATTTGCCAGACAAGTGACCCAATCCCTCTATTACCTATCTCTCCAGCCCTCTGAATGGTCTCATTTTTAATAAGATTAAGGGGGCTGGAAAGACAGTACAGAGGGTACACTGGCCTTGCATAGGTTTGCTCCCTCCAGGGACCGCCAGGAGTGATCCCTGAGCACAGAGCCAGGAGTAGGCCCTGAACACCACCAGGTATGATCCACGGCCACCCCATAATAAGATAAAATAACATGGTAATATCAGTGGTTAGGGGTTTGTCTGGAACATGACCAGCCCAAGTTTAATTCCTGGCACCGTATCTGGACCCCCGATCCCACTGGAAGTAATCCCTGAGCACAAAGCCAGGAGCAAGCCCCGATCACTGCTGGTGTGCCCCAAATGCCAAGAGGGAAGAAAAAGGGGGGGGACATAATACAGTACACCTCTGCTTTAAGGTCCCAAGTGATAGTACAGAGGGCAGAGGGTAGGGTTACTTTGCACATGACCGACCCAGGTTTGATCTCCGGCATCTCATATCTTTAAGCCCCTCAGGAGTAATTCCTGAGTACAGAACAAGGAGTGATCTCTGAGCAGTGCCTGGAGTGCCTCCCCTCAACCCCCCAAAAAAAAAAATGGAAATAGGGGTCAGAGAGATAGAGCAACAGGCTGAGTGTATGATTTGCTTACGGGATGCCTGGGTTCAAAAACTGGCACCTCGGACCCCCTCTAAGCACTGAGCCAGGAGTAGTCCCTGAGTAATACAGGGTGTGTCCCCAAAACTAAAAAAAGAAAAAAAAACGGGGATAAACAGGCTTGTAATGTGGCTTAATGTTAGAGCACCGGCCTTGCAGGTTCAGGCCCTGGGCTCTGTCCTGGCACCCCAAGAATAACCCCCTCCAAACTGAGTGCCCTTGGGAGCTACAGTGAGACAAGGGCAGACAAGGCTTGTGAAGGGGACCCCTGGAGGTGCTGGCCACGGTGTCCCTCCCCAGGCCTCTGAGTGTGCAGAGTATGGGGGGGTGCATCTGGGCAGAGCCGCAGCCCCCCTTCACCTCTGCCCTTTGGGGGGAGCCAGGAGGGAGGAGTTCCCCAGGCATTCCTCAACTCTGCCCTTTGACCTGACTCTGACCCCTGTCCCCCCACCCCTGCCCCCACACACATACACAGCAGTGGATAAAACCAGAAGGCCCAAGATTTTATCAGGGCCACTAATGAGATTACTGGCCTGCACGTCAATGTCCCTGTCCCCTCTGTCTCCTGCCTTCCAGCCCTGCGTCTGGATACAGGTTGCCCCCACCCTGCTGCTCCCCCAGGCAAACCTCCCTCATCACCCTGGGCCCCCCCCCAACACACACACCCTTCTCTCACCCTGCAGGTTGAGCAATGACAAAGAGGAAGCATCTGTCCCCCACAATTTCGGCAGCC